GATTCCGCTGTTTCAATCCTCTTCCCTGCCTCAGCCCAGGGAGAGAGATTAGTCTGTCATAAACCTATACACTCTGTAGCTTTATGTTTTTTATTAATTATACTAAACGAAACTCTTTGTTGCAAGTAAAAACAACCCAATTTAAGCCCCATCTTTAAAAATATATAATTTAAACTCTACATAGCTAGTTAGACCCTCCCCACACTGTCTCCATTCGCACCTTGGACCTAGGTGCTGTCCTGTCCTGCTCACCCTGGCTGCACCGTCCCGACTAGCCTGACAAGTGTATCTCTCACCACTCATCAAAGAAGCTTCTTTTTGCAAGAGATGGAGACTGTTACATTGTTCCACAACTGGTCAAATGTCAAGAATAAATGTCTGTGAGATGCCCAGTGCTAAGAGATACATCTACAACGCAACCTCTACACCCAAGGCTCAGGGAACATAGTGGAACGGAGGTCAGAATATTAATGCATCTCTCAGGTTTCACCAGTGAAGCTTCCTCGTACAGCAGAAGGTGATTAACATGGAAAGCCACAACTGACCAAAATGTAGAGAATAAGAGACTGCAGAGTGGATGTTCCTGGATAAGATTCCTATATTAAACCTCTGCCATTCAGGGCTCAGGGACCATTGTGGAAGATGGGGCAGAAAGATTTTAAGATCAAGGGGTGGTGGATGACCACAAGGAAACAGAATTTCCCAGGTGGCTGGATGTTGCTCATGTGAACTTATAGCAGTGGGGACAGCATGCACAAGACCCAGGAAAACTCAAACCTGACGAAAACCTAACATAAAACTGGAGAAATAGCCGGGAGGCCCCAACCTCAGCTGAATTCCCAGGTGGCTGGATGTTGCTCATGTGAACTTATAGCAGTGGGGACAGCAAACCTGACGAAAACCTAACATGAAACTGGAGAAATAGCCGGGAGGCCCCAACCTCAGCTGAGGAATTATTGGCAGTTGATCACTGCTGGGTGAGGGAGCATTGGCCTTCTTTAAAGAAGTGATAGGCTCCAGTGGATCATGCCTTAGGGACATTAGGGATATTAACTTGATACGATA